TTTTTTGTTATTTCGATGGCACAATCTTCTGATAACTGATCAGAAAATGCATTTGATAAACTGGCATCAGTACTCAAGCTAACAACGTCAACTATTTTTAAAAAGGAATCTTCATCTTTACATTTCTGAACATTATTGGACGACGAAGGTTTAATAATAGATAACTTGTCTCCTGATAACCTCCGCATCTTAAGAAACCCTTTGGTTTCACAATTTCTTCTTGCTCATTCTTTATTTCTGAATCGTGTTTTAATATATGCTGAAGGCAGACAGCGAGTGGGAAACCGTCCCGAGAGTCTTCGTTAGGTGTTTCAACAGGATTATTGCAAATGAAGCAAACACCATTCCATTTACTGCGACTATGACATTTTTCAATATGGTCTAAAAATAAAGAATCACTTTCGGAGTTATAAACACACCCCTTCTCAAAACATTCATACATTTTTTTATTGTCCATCGTAATGCTGATTCTTATAGTGCCAATCTGCAGTTTCGTACTTCTTTGCCTTACAACATTCAATGATATAGGTTCTGAAGGTGGCGGTCCTTCTTGCAGAATAAATTCTTTCGATATATCGTGTAAATTATTTTCATTTATGACGGATTCCTGAGCACTATCTGGGTAAAGTGTTTTGGATTTCGCTGGGCTAGATATAAGACTGCTTGCTAACCTTTGTATAGTATCGGACATTACGCTAGGCGTCAAAACATTTTTCTCAATACTGTTTAAGACTTCATCGACGTTCACAAATGGTTGAGGCGAATTATATACTTCCGAATCATTTGAATCTTGTTCATCCGATATGCGCAATTCCGATTTAGGTGTATCCGCAACATTTACCGATTTGGCGAAAGAAAATCTAGGTTGATAGCTCTCACCTTATCCGATATTTCTGGTTGAATGTCACTAGTTATATCTTTAGTTTCAGTTGTTATATTTTTATCGAAATCCAAATTGCTTCCAGAAATTATTTTTTGAGACGTTTCAGTATTGTCAGAAGTTATGTTATCGAGAATAATTTGAGCATTATCATTTTGTGGTAAAACTTCATTATCTTCATCTACAACATTTTCATTCATGTTATTTATTTTACATTGCAGAGCATCGGTAATTTTCATTTTCTTTAAAAATGGTTCGAACATAGGTCTCGAATTATTTATTAAGACATCGCTGAATGTAATATCTACTTTTGAGAGTTCTGCCTCTTTTCAAGCAGAAAAGGATTTTTATCAACAAGAATATTTCAGATTCTGATGATACAATTTCAGCAGTGTTATCTGAAGGTTTTTTATTAGAATCATTCTTCAATCCATATTCATGATTCGAAACGAGGTCATGAACTATTAATGGTGGTCCGTCGTCGATCTTTTTATAATCATTGAAATCTACGTCCTCGTTGACGTTATCAGTTGATTTATTTTCGCTTCTATTTACAATGCTGTTTTCATTAGATTCATTTAAAATACACTTAGATATTTTAAACATATTAACTTTAGAAATACTAAGTTCCTTGCCCGGGTGATTCGTACGAATATGCCGTTTAATGTTGTTTTCAAAAATTTGTGTAAAATTACAATATTTGCACATATAACCAAAAATGTAAGTACCATTGGTATTAGGAACGTCGTACATAATGCACGGAGTCAATGGTACTTTCGAAAACTTGTGCCGATATTTAAAATGGTGTTTTAACGAATCTGTTTTCATGATACGATAATCGCAAACATTGCATTTATAGCGAAACTCACCGGTGTGAATAGATAAATGTTCAAATAAAAAAGCAGTATCTTCTTTAAGTATAATTGTTTTACAAAAACGACATTCATAACTCAATTCTGTACTATCTGACTTGTCTTCTACTTGTCCTTGATTCGTCTCACAAAATGAATGCTTTGCGATTTCAGCTTCAGTAGGATTCATTCTCGAAGAATATACTTCATTATTAGGATGGTTATGAACATAGTGTATCGTAATCATTTTTCCCGTAAATGTGCATAGCTTACAAGAGTATTTTTCGCTACAATCAACAAAATAATTTTCATCAGTATTCAATGGAAAGTTGTCGATAGATTTTTCACTAACTGGTGAACTTTGCTCTAAATTTCCATATCAATATTCTTGATATTTTCACTAGCAGCTTCAATATTATCACAAACTGTTCTCTTAATTTGCGTTTACTGCGCAAAATTCCCATTTTCCAAGCGCCCTTGCGTTTATTTTTTTTCTTTAAATTTAAACCTACTTTTACTATATTTTTTTCTCCAGAATCAGACATTAGGTTATCACACTTTTCAGGGATTGAATTATGTTCCTTATCGACAGCATCATTTTTATCTTCAGTATTTTCTGATGCTATATCCTCACACTGACCATTCTTTTCAATAACATTTTGGTTTTCAGCGTCGCATTTATTTAAATTCGTGTTTATCTTCTCATTTCTAATAGGATTCCTCAATGTTCGCGCAGAAATGCTAATTCCCCTGCCTCTTCTAGCAACGTTACGTCCTCGGCAAATGTTTTCTTCTATTTCTAATTGACAATCAAAATCTTTTAATTTTTCTAGAATTATTCTAGGTTGCATATGCATACTAGATTTCGATTTGAACGTTTCATTTTCTTCTTCAGTGTTCAAGGTCAAATCATCTTTAGATTCAGTATAATTGATTTTTCTCAAATTTTTGCGGTTTTTACGGCATGAATTAGATTTTAAATCATCTGTATTTAAAATGCAGTTCGTCTCCATAATACTGTCTTCCTTAAGAATCCTACACATACGTCTTCCCGTTGCTGTAAGAACTCCTTCACATATAAACATATCTCGCACATCATGCTGCAACATTTCTAATGCGTTTCGCCTTTTAGGTTTCACAACTTTTTTTTCAATGTCTTGCACTTCATTTGAATTTTCATTACATTCATAATTAGTATGTTTATTCGAATCTGTAACATCTTCATCCGAAGAATCGGATTCGATCTTTTTTATCCTTTTTTTTTTTTTTTTAAATATAGGTGATTCACTTATATTGCTTTTATTATCATTAATGTCTTCATCAGAATCACCATCAATGATCTGTTTTATTTTCTCTACCTTTTTAGAGCCTATTTTTTCTTCCAATTTTTGTAATATATTTAATTGATCCTCTGTATCGCTCTGTTTCTCTTTTTATCTTTATAGATCCCAGATATCATATCTAATAATTTTGTTAATAGAACTTTCTCTTCGTTACTAACGTTCTCATCTTTCGTGTTGATGTTTTTCACATTATTGCAATCAGAGATCACGGACTGTGATTTAATGTCCACTTTGTCATTATTCATTATTGTGCTTTTAACGTCATGAGGTGTCTTTGCGATGTCTTTTAATTGATTATTTATGTCTAAAGAATTTACATTTGTAGTGGGATTATTACTTTGTTGATCGGGATCTCTTTTAATTTTAGGTATTTTGAAAGATTTAATTGCATCTTTTGTATTTGTATTGGGATCATGCAGATTTTTTCTCGGTGGAGATTTATTTTGTATCTTATCATTATGTTTAAACCTACTATTAGAGATACATTTACTTTCTTTAGGAGAGGGTCGTTTAACATCAGTAACTTTGGAAGAATTTTGGGTTATACTTTCCTCAAGGAATGATGAAGACTTATTTAAATTTAAAGCAGAAGATGTATTTTCTCTCGGTGATCTATAATCAATATCATTTTCTACATGGCAATTAGAATCATCTGTGCGAAATGTTCGCGGATCGCTCATTTTAGAGAGGCTTCTACTCCACCTGTATTTGTTATCCCGACCGTATGCACTGTTACCTCGATAATGAGATCGAGAGTTATCGTGAAATCTCGAATTAGAATGCATAAATTCATGTTTATTATATTTCAGTGAACTATGTTCATTCAGATCAAATTGCACGCGGTCTCTATAATCGAACTGATGATCATAATAATCATTTTTCGATATTCGTTGATCCGCGTTGTCGTAAAAATAGTCAGTGTTTTGATATTCATGAGATGCCGAAACGTAACATTTTTCCGAATTGGTAAAATCTTTGGAGTTACGAATATTTGAATTTGGTGTTGGTAGCAATGGTGTTTTCTGATGGAAATTCTGATTATTGTGGCGCGGCATAAAATTTGATTTAGGATTAGTAGTAAATGTTTGCGGTTGTACTGCTTGTGAGTGAACAAAATTTTGATTAGGAACATATCTATAATCCATATCTAATATAGATGGAAAGGTGTATCTACTCCGAGATTCAGAAAATGTACTATTTTTTGTATTTGGCATATCATAATTAGTAACAAGAGGAAGAGGTTCAGATCTAGGAGAGCTAACTGTTTTAATTCTTGGATCATTGGGTTTTATATCAGGTATGTTTATAAGCTTAGAATTTTCTTCTGTCGAATGTATAATTTTCCCAAACGGGTTAGGGTCTAGTTTGCTACTTAAGATCTTCTTTTGTTCAAAATCAGCATTTTTCACAGCACTCTTATTACTTGGCAACAAGTGAGAACTCGTATGTTTTTGCATATACTCTGCATTTCCACTATCAGAAATCCTTTTCCTTGGGTATTTATCAGATAATCGTTCATAGTTTTCAACAGGTTTTTTAGTCATTTTATTCTCATGGGAAAACGTGCTAGAGCTTTGTTCTTTTTTCGATAAATCGTCAAATACATTTCTGGAAGACAAAGAATTATCTTTGTTACTAACAGTCTTTGAACATTCTTCAAAAGATCGAGTTATGGTTTGTTTTTTAATTTCATTGTTATCTAATTGAGGCAATTGCATTTCATCATGTCGCGGTTGTATTAAATGCCCGGAGCCAGTCAATTTTTTATCAAGTTCTTTTTGTTCTAATATACTTTTATCTTCTTTAGAATCCTTAAACTCTGTGGTTTTATGTTTGGATTTTTACTAACGTTATCTATTAAGGTTTTATCTAGTTTGGCTAGAACATCACCAAAAACACTTGAGTCTTCCAATTTACGAGTTGTTGCTTTAAGTACAGGTGTCGACTTCTTAATACCGCAAGAAGATTCTTGTTTCTTTGGCATAACAACGGATTGATTCGGTTTGGAAATTTTTCCAGTTAGAGTATTTGTATTTTTAATAAAATCATTTTCTTCATTTTGCGTCAAATAATTAGCTATATCTGATTCAATTTCTTGTTGCAATTGAGCTTCTTTTAGTTGTTTTGTGAGATTAGTGATTAAAGTTGCACTTTTTGGAACTTTATCATTAGAACATTTCAAAGGTGTTTTTTTACTATTATTTACTAATGGGCTTTCAGTATGCACTAACTTTTCTCCTAATCTATCGAAAACAGTTATTCTTCTTTTTTCTGCAGTAGGACTGCATTTTGATATATTGGTTTGTTGTATATAAGAATCGGTGTTATCACTTCTGTATAAATCTATTTTTTTTGGAGAAAATTGAGAAGGTGAAGTATTTATAGTTCTAGATGGTGATTTTGGCAATACATGTTGTGAATCATCATTTCCTCTGGAATTAGATTTACATGAAGTTGCTGGTCGTCGCATAAACAAAACATCAGAATTATCTACACTTGCAGAATACGTATTTTTATTATCTTGTGCCAGAGGTTTCACGCGTTGTGGGGAGTTTGAAGATTCTTCGCATACTCTTTCAGTGGGAATTATTATAGGTATATTCAAATTAGAATCAAACAAAGGCGGACTAGGACTAGCAGGAGCTGAAGAATTCGATGCATTTAGCCTATCAAGTATAATATTTAAAGGCGAATGGATTGGGTTATCCGTTCCATCTTTGATATTTGAATCTAACATCGCGATTTTTGGATAGTTGCGCTTCTTCACAGAAGCACTCTGCAAGAATGATTAAAATGTAATGGTAATTAAGTATTTAATAATTGTACAAAAATGTAAATAGTTAAATATTTACCAATTCCATTTTGTCGTAGAGCTTTCGCAAAACATCTTCGCACTTCTCAAGGGTATGGGCTTTCAATCTGAAAAAAAAAAACGGCAGCATATTATGTATACTGGATCAATGATGACGTTTTAAAATTATCAATCACAAACGCAAAGTTTATTGATAAATGTCCTAAGAAAAGCATTGAGACTACACAATATTTTTAAATAAAAGTAAATTAACCACAGATAAAATATTGTTCAGAAGTATTGTCGATTAGATTTACATTTCAATCATTTGCCCTAGGTGCAGTCCTTGTGTTATTATGTAAATAATATTATCGCGTCTTTATTTCAAAACTTTAGTATCATAATTTTATCTCGATTTTCTTCGAATTTGCAATCTTGAGCCGTTTTAGGATACGGAAAACTAGCTGGCATTTTTTCTAATTTTGACACGACTTCTTTGGTTGCGCAAAACATTTTAGCACGTTGAGTTAGCAACTTCTCGATAGTCAACCTATGACCGGCGCGAGGATCGGCACTGAAATTTTTTTTTTGGTGATCCGTGTGATCGACAGTATTAACGTTGAAAAATGAAATTAGTCTTAATGAAATGCGATCAATTAAGTTTTAACACTTAGCTGTCCGCACGTCTCGTAAAAATTTCTTCGCTCGGCGCCGGTAGTGCTAATTCGTATTACTTTGCTCGTCGCCGACCATTCTGGATATTATCGAAAAATTGTAAATTATTAGGTCTTAGTAATCTTGACGGGTGTAACTTTTTGTTATCTAAATAAAACACCGGGAAGATTTCTGCCACTAGCCAAGAACGAACGAACGACCCTGTGCTCATGACACCACTGTGGTATCGCCAGCTGGTGAACGCTAGTTTGTGCACTACACCACTGTGGTGTCGCCGAACGGCATAGTATTAACAAAATTTATTGAAATATTCTAAACGAAAACGTAGTGAACGGAAAAGACAGCAAATTTGGCGCAGGACTCAACGTGTTAATTAATTATACAGAATGTAGGCATCATACTAAAAATAACATGTATTTTAATAATTTTTGAAATACTATTTGGTGAATAAATAATTATTAGTCAAGATTAATTTTTTAGTACGAAAAAAAAATTTAGTAAGAAAAAATATAAATCAATAAGAGTGATTTTTTTCTACTTTCAACAAAATTATGCAGTTGAGCCTCGTTAATAAAGTTGACATATTTACTTAGTTGCAAACCTAATTTAGAAGATTTACGAAGATGAGATATATTTTATATAAAACTCCGTGCATAAACAATTTGCTTGATTTAATTTAAAATAGAATATAAATATATTTAAAACAACTTGAAAAAATTTTCAAACGTAAATAGAAAAATTAGAGCTTTTACAAAAACAATATTATATTATGAGAAGCTATAATATTGATTTATAAAACGGAAGGTATATAATGATCCCGTAATAATGCGCTCTCGAATGATTTGTATCAGTTATTATAAAGTTATATAATTCAATAGACAATAATGATCGAGCGAAAATATGCAATGATGAGTCATATAAGAAATTAATTTTCATGCAATAGAAAATATTAAGGTTAGAAATGAATACTGAAATAAAAGATTACACTCTTAACCATTTGTTCAAATATACACTGAAGAATTGTAAAAAAATTTATATCTTCATTAGACACAATTATGCATAATTAATATATATATATATATATATATATATATATATATATATATGTATATCAACACCAAATTCACATACTTCAATATATATATATATATATATATATATATATATTTAGGGTGATCCTTAAAATGGACATTTTCGAACTTTCTTGCTCCCAAGGTCTCAAATGGTTCCAAATTGATAAAAAACAATTCTCTGAAAGTTTCAGCTCTTAATATCAACTTCTATATAATAATGATGAAACAACATGTATGAACTAAATAACGGACACCTTACTCAAATGCGTGCAACGCAGAAGTCGGTTCGCGCATTTAAAAGTTTATTTTATGGGTGGTTTTATGAAACATATTTCTTGTTAATTGAATTGCAGATTCATTCAAACTCGATTTTGCACTAAGCGATAATTTCTCTCCGACTTCTAGACAATATATAATTTGAATTTCATCTTTAGGCGATATACACCTTCTTTTTAATCATTTCTTAGTAATTTATCGACATGGAGTTCGTTCCATCCGAACCAATCTGACAGTCCGGAACTGTCCGCGCATGCGCAGAACACTTTTTTCTGTTCCATCCAAAATTTCGGATTCCAAACTGTTGCGGACTGTCAGTAATGCGTTCCATCAAGCAGTCCGATGAGTTTGAAACTATCATTTTGTGTTTGTACTCGGCACAAACAAAAACTCCGCAATTTAATACGATTAAAATAGAATGTTATTTAATCTCAAATAGAACATTAAAAATTTAATGAACTTACAGGAGTTCAAACATTGTAGAATATTAGATTAAAGCGACCTAACGATATATAACTAGGAAATATTAAAAAGTAAATTCATTGATATAATTAAGTTATATTTTATTAGAATATGTTTTATATATATATATATATATATATATATATATATATTAAACTTATATTTATGTATTAAAATAATAATTATTAATACAATCGAGTGAGCTCCGAGTTCGATCGCGTTGCATGTATCAAAACCAAACCATTGCCAACTGCCATGAAAAAATCAGAAAGAGTTTGATCTAGTTTGAAACAGTTTCGGACTGTCAGATTTGCTCGGATGGAACGAACCCATGATGACGGTTCAGATTTTTGTTAGTAAAGAACAAACAATCCATGATATAACTATTATAATATGATGTATAATCCGGTATGTGTAATATAAACACACTCTAAAAGATAAATGTGTTAATAACAAAACTTACATTCATACCCTCTAAATATCTAGTTTCTAGGGTTATTCATAGATTGAGGGATGTCGCATTTTTAGCGACGTGAACTATGGGAACCGTGTTCCGGATCAATAAAATGCACTAGCAAAAAACATGCCATTTTCGGCTTTTATTATTTTGCTCAAAATTTTTAAGTATTTTACCATGTTACAATCTTGATTAAATGCGCTAAATTTTATGATGCTTGCCAACACAGTTTAGTAAAAATTTTTTTAAAGAAGGGCTTCTCAAAGTCGACCGATTTTAAAAAATTTTAAATCATAGTTCAACGAAATGTCTTAACTCTTGGAATCTTTAAGCATTTGTGGTAATTTTTTACTGCGGTCCTAAATATGTTATTCACGGTTACAGTTCCAAAACATAAATGAAAAAAATAATAATCACAAAAACCAAAAAATGGACATAATTTCACCAAAGCTCGAAACAACGTTATAAATAATTTTTTTCTAATTTTTATTGGCTTGACATCAAGGTCTGGGACACCCTGCATATAGATAGTCATTAAAAAAATATATATGTGTGTGTGTGTGTGTGTGTGTGTAAGTGCGTATAAGTGTGTGTAAGTCTATAGAAGTATGTATTATGTATGTAAATAAGGCAAATATAAAACTTTAACTTTCCGGTTCAAGTATCGATTATTTGTTACATACGCATGTCAAATTTACAGTATATAAAATACAGTAAATCCTCGCTTTACGCGGCAAATGCGTACCGTGCAGTATGGGGACCGTGCTATAAAAAATTCGTATTTAACATACAGTTCAGGCTAATTCGTAGTGCGTTTTATGGAACCTTACATAGTGCAGTATGGGAACCATGCTATGAGAGACTCAGAGTTGGTACAAATCACGTCACTTTTATCGTGCTGTATGGAGACCAAGAAATACAACTTGAAGTAGGAGTAATACGGACGAAATGACATGTATTACATTGACACCTTATTCAAAAATTGGCGCGACGCAGTAGTCAGCTCAAACATGTTCTTAGACAGCTATTATATAATCAGACGTGTCTAAAAGATAAAAGTCGATAACAAAACTTACATTAATACCCATTTGATATCAAGTTCCTATAATCACTCATAGGTTACGCAAGGAACTTATGGGCTGTTGAACAAAAACCGTGTAATAGGAAGTACGTATATTCGGAGGGATGCCGGATTTTTAGCTCCGCGTAGTATGAGAACTGCGTACCCAAAGTCCCGTGTAAACCGAGGGTTGACTGTAATTAGTTTGCTATTGAAAAATATAAAAGTGCATTACTGCACTTGATGATTTTCTGACAATAGAGCAAAGAATCATTGATGGGCCAATAATTTTGGCATCATAGCTACCAATGATTTGTCACTTCTTAACCTTTTCAAGAAAATTAAAATCACTTCTGACGACCCTAAAAGCTTTTGGGAGAATGCAATTACGACATTCTTCTAATCAAAATTCAGAAACTTCGGGAATCAAATGTTATGCCCATATCGTTTAATTGGACGGTTCTCAAACGTCTTGGAAATGTTTTACACCAATCGTGAATATTTTTTACTTAAAGCTAACTCACAGTACACTACTGCTTTCGAACTTTAATTTGAATTTGATTTTTTCACACAAAAATGATTTAATCCAAATATTTAACCTTTTGAAGACGGGCGCCGCATATACGCGCAAATCATCAAATTGGCCGAAGAACTCATATATGCGTCACACCTAAACGCATGTCCAACCAAACTGAATAGTTAATAAACAAATAAACATTTTACTTCATTTTATCCTGTAAAAAATATGTGCATATAGTGCCAAAAATATGCGTTGGTAATATTAAATGACTATCGTAGACGGCACCACAGTACTATTCACGAACCGTTCCGTCTCCAAAGAGTTAATATTAGAAAATACAACACAATAAAATCGTCTACCTATTTATCTGTCAAGAACAAACTGAATATACTATATACTTGAAATGTGTGATCATATGTTGGAACATGTGTCCTAATAAATAAAATACAGTTTTCGTTCAACTGTCCATAAGTTCTTTGCGCAACCTATGAATGACTCTAGTAACTAGATATAGTAAGGGGCATTGATGTGTGCTTTGTTATCGACTCTTATCTTTTACATTGTGTTTATATACACATACCATAATGTATCACAGTTGTGTAGAACCATAGATAAGGAAATAGATAGGAAACTTGGGGGATATTTCATAGTCAACGGAATAATTGCACATTACGACATTAGAGGCGCTAGTGTTCGTAGCAGGTTCCAGAACTTTTTGCAAAAGGTTTAAATACCAGATCATTTTGGTTCATGTACATGCCGATATATGAGTTTACGATCTTGCTACTACTATCATTACTATCTCCCCCATGAAAATATTGAACAAAATATAAGTGACTCTGCATCACTCGAATAATTTGGACAAAATACCGATAGCATAATACTGTAAATCACCAAAAAAAATCAAAAATAAGATTAAGACATTAACGTATATCTTTAAGTTGAAAAATTCGTGACAATAATGAAAAAAAAATGTTTAGAGACTACGAACTAAATACAAAACTTAAATGAAAGTCGACACATTTTTTTTGTTTTTGACATATGATTTGACATTTGATGCATTTTTTGTTTTGCTCGCAGACTAGATCGAATAATTTCGATAGCTACGCTAATTAGCGTCGTAAGCGCGAGTTATTTAAGCGATCACCAAAATTTCTTAGAAGCTTACCCCCTCCCCCCTGTGTAGAACATAGGTTTCAGTTGTGTCAGAACATGGTTCACAGCGCATTTTGTTTGATTAAGAGCTGCTCAAAAAGTTCTGAGACGCTAAATCGTCATTGTCTCAAAAGAAATTAGGAAAGGATTAAAAATAAGGTGTATATAGCTTAAAGATAAAATTCATTCGTTTAGAAAGCGAGAGAAATTATCGTGTGTTGCAAAATCAACAAAATAGAATGAATTTATAAATCGCACTTTAAATAAAACAATTACAAATAACAATAAAAATGTCTCCAGAAAACATAAGAAATCTATTCGTAAACTAAACTTTTTAAGGCGCGATCATGTTTGAACTGACTACGGGGCAACGGCAATTTTTAACCCTTTGCGCCCGGCTGTCGCCTCTGAGGGACTTAATAATTTGTATTCATAATAAGTTCAGTGTGTATTGAAGCGTCGAAAACAATAAATCAAGAATGAGCAAGCAGCGACTCTTTTTTAAATATTTTTCTGCGATTCGCCAAGCATTTCTGAAGTACAATCTTATTTATTTCACCAACTTTCTTTCATCAATAAATTTAATGCATATTCTTTTCTTGTTGCATTAATTTATAGATTTGCTTTTTTAGTATAGTATTTTTATATTATAATGTTTATTAGTATATATCAAGCTTTGTAAATTATTAATAAGTCTGTCATGTCATAACATTTCGCAAATTATATGCCGCCCGCAAATAAAAAAAATTGTTCATTCTTAGAATTAAATCTATGGAGCGGTATAGCAGTGTTACGTTTGCAAAATTTACTTGAGTTTAGATTGCAGTTTAGATTGAGATTTACAGTGATATCCCGCTCAACGCACGCCTCGCACAATGGACGCTGCGAAACGAACTTTCTTTTTCGGACGCGAAAGTTTCACACAACGTTTTGAAGCATCATTATTTGTAGTCAAAAATATGTTGCTCAATTTATTTCAAAGAGTGGGCCTTGGAAATTTATGCTCCCGCTGTGAAAATATACTTGTTGCAGAATAATCTCTCACTTAAATCATCTCGTTATTTGAGTCATTCACATTCACACATCAAAAGTATTGAGAAAAATTTCGAAGTGTGTGAACAAAAGTCTATAAATTTTTGGTCAAATGAAAAGAAGTGCAAATATTCGTAAATGTTTACTTTTCAAACATGAGGCTAAGAATATCAGAAATTTGTTTAATGATAAGGTCGCCTATCATTTACAGTAGGTCTTAAAAAAGAGAATGAAAGAAACAACTATCGACAGCTTCTTTAAAAATTCAGGCGCTAAAGGGGCAAAAAGGTAGCAGTACCACTCTAATAGTAACTTATTTTGTAAATTAGTAATATTTTTTTAAATGCCTTAATTATATGTAAAATATATCTTATTTTCTATGACCAATATGGTCTAACTACAGAACGAATTATTTTTATTATCATGTTTTCATATGGAAAAACGTTTCGCATAACGAATTTTCTCCCGGATCGAATTAAGTATGTATAGCGGAGTATCACTGTATTACATTTCACTGTAGAGTGATAAAAAAAAACGATGGTGCCATGACGCTAAGTAAATATAACGACAGTAGAAAGCCCGTTAAGCCTTTTGGAAATTGCTTTCCACGCTGCAGAAGATAAATTTGGATATTATTGTAAATGTATGTTCTTCAATATCCAGAAATTCATATAAAACAAATTGCATAACATACACAATAATATCAAGTTTACAGCAGACGGATTGTTTTTGAATCGGTGCCGGGCGGAGGGTTACATAAGTGTGCATGTCATTTCAACCGTATTAGTCCTACACACTAACTTATTTGTTTCCATATAAGGCGATACAAATGCTACAATTTGTACTAATTCTGAGTTTCTAATGGCACGGTTTCCATAGAACGAACTACAAATTAACCTGGATTGTACGTTAAATAAATCCCAGTTTTCTATAGCACGGTTCCATACTACACGGTTCGCACTCACCGCGTTAACGGTGGACTGAATATATGTATGTACGTATGCATGTATGACTATATATATATATATATATAGGGTGGTCCTTAAAATGGTCATTTTCGAATTTCCTTGCTTCCAGGGGCTCAAATGGTTCCAAATTGATAAAAAACAATTCTCTAAAAGTTTTAGCTCTTAATATTAACGTTTAGATAGAGCGCAATTCAATCAAACTTCGTATGGAAAGAGCATGGAAAAAATTTTGAAAATAAAAAAAAATGTTTTAGGTATAACTTAGCGACAAATGAATGAGTTTCATTCATTTATTTGTTCGCTAAATTACATCTAAAAAACATTTTTAAAATTTTTGAAAATTTTTCCATGCTATTTCCATACAAAACTTTGATTGACTGCGCTCTATCTAAAAGACAATATTAAGAGGTAAAATTTTCAGAGAATTATTTTTTATCAATTTGAAACCATTTGAGCCCTTGGGAGCAAGGAAATTCGAAAATGTCCATTTTAAGGATCACCCTAATATATATATATATATATATATATATATATATATATATATAATAAGTAAGTAATACGAGAGGGAACCGAAACAATATGCATTGTATTCTATATACAAGTGATTGAAATAATTGAAGATTACGTAAGTATACATAATGTTAATTTATATGCCTATATTAAATAATATAATATAAAATTAATTTTCAAAGCAGAACTACATTTAATGAAATATATTCAAATTTAATAACATAAATTAGTACAATAGCTACAGAATGCTGAATTTTAATAACTACGCCTTGGATAATTACTTACTTTCTTTTTTGATCTGTCAGAAGGGACAACAAGGACATCATTTTGCTTAATTGAGGACTTCTTTGTTTTTCTTGAGTTTTTGAAGAATTTTGTAAATTAGCGATCATTGCCCTCAAAAACGGAACGTATTTTTGCAGATCATCTAACAACTTCAACCTACGTTGCTCTTCCTCCATTTTGTATCACTCAAAAGATCGACGCTAGTCAAATACAATATCTCTTGAACAAATGCACAGTCTTCGCCATAACAAAAGAGCTCGAATTATTTATAATAAGAAATCATTGTTCGCTCATTTTTAGTGTTACTGGCGTTAATAGTTTCTAAAAAAATGCTTAATCGCCACTTCGAACAACTCGGTGAACGAGGTGGCAAGTCATGTCCGTCTGAAGTAATCGATCGGAGCTTCTGAACTAATAACCTAATAATAACTGTATTGATACACTAAAACAAATTTCACAAAAACCTTCTTCTGTAAATTCGACAGTCTCAAGTTAATATATCAAGTTAATTCGTTTCTTTAACTACGAAATATCTTGCTCATCGCTCGGCGTCGATTATTAACATGGGCAATGGCGGACCCTGTAGCTGTAGCAAGCGATAAAAAAGATATCTGTTTCACTCACTTGTATTCACTTCACTTGTTCGATCACGGCTCTCGTACGCTTGTGCATTTCAGTAAGGGAACACATTTATTTAATATTATGTGTAGTGCTTCATTTGCAGTTATTAAAAAATATTTCATTATCACAATCACATTGAATTGCATTCAATACTTTCTCGTTTAATCACTTCAGTACTATCGTGCTTCGCGCATTCGGCTGTGCTCTGCAGCTGCTAGAGTTCCTTGTGATTGTGCCTCGACATTTTGTTTTAGGTGTGTGTTCGAACGACGTGTACGATCGCAGAATTGACTTCGAAGTTTAAGCGGCGACGACGACAGGGCGCCTGTTTCATATGTTCAGTTTTTCTAATTACACTAGCTGTCAGTATGAAATGTACAATTGTCAAAATTGTAGGTGATATATTTATATATAGTGCGTTGATGAGTTGATTCATATAAAAACTAAAGCAATTATGAATTATGCTTTATCCATACGTTTCGGTCTACTTCAAGAACGTCATTCAGTGAAACAAAAAATAATCATTAACACATAAATACACTACACTATTACACAATTGTGAATCCAGGCTGTCATTGATCCGAACATTTAAGACTATAAATTCAGATGATAATTTGAAATTACATTATATAAAGAGTTATCGAAGTGTAAGGATTTAAACTTTCAGTCCTAGTGCAGTGTATTTGTGTGCTAATAATTATTTTTTGTTGCATTCAATGACGGTATCGACGTAGATCAAAACGTATGTATAAATAAAGCTTATAATTGAATTAGTTTTTTTTACTTGGCGCTACTGCCCAAATCACCATTTCTCAAAAATGTATTTCAGCACCAAATTTACATACTCCAATGTATGTAATAATGCTATATATAAGGTCATATAAATACAAAATTGTGATTAGTGTAATGTAGATTCATGTGCCGATTCTGCCGTAAAATAGATCAATGTTATGGCAAGGCTATGTTACGAAGCATTTTTTATATGTAGATGTACTATAAACTGTCAATTTCCTATGTGGTTGCTATGCACTACGGCGTTTTACATAGTAACATAACCTAGAAGAGACACAAACGTCTAGAAGATTCTTATTATCAAGTTTATCTTTGTGAAGTGGCATAATTGCATACGAGTGAAGTTACATTTCATGCGTAAAACGCCCGACTGCACAGCAATTACATAGCATTTTGACAGTTTTTAGTACTATTTTATATGCAAAACGCTATGTAACATAACCTTGCCATAAAATTGTCTATTTTACAGCTGAACAGACCCTTCAATATGCCCACTAATTTGCCGAAACTATATTTTATTGTTTTATGCACTCAGTTCATTGTTGATTAAACACCTTCATTGTGAAGTATCCAACAAACAATTAACACAAATACTGATGAGTATTTGCGTTCCCTTATTATACAGTATAAATATAAATGAATTACACAACCATTGATGAGTTTGTTTTATTATAAAACAAATTTAACATACAAAGACATTGTATTTTACACTAAAAATAAAAATCAAGTCAAAATACATAATTACAATTTGTATATTTGTATATTTAGATAAAATTTAAAATTAATCAAATCACAACACTAATAATCTTATATAATTATAACAATTAATGATTTTTTACTTAATATAAATTTCTTTGAGAAAGAATTAGATCACATACTGAGAATTATTTTTTATGCTGTCATACCGATATTATCAACTATGAGCATTTTAATACAATTAATTCACATTAATAATTCTTTATATGATTTTAATATATTTGTCATTAAATTTACAAATGACTTGATTCTATAGTAGATTTTGTTTGTACTCCATTTTGGTGTAAAGTTGGAAGACCTGTTTCATCAGCTGTTGTACAGATAGCATTTTCATGTCCTACATCATTACTTTTAGTAGCAGGTTTTGGTCCTTCCATGAAGAACATTGTAATCAAGAAAAGTACTGAGCCTGAAAAAAAAATTGGGTTACAAAAAGAAATTATGAGACATATTTTATAACACTTACTGATTCCATAAAATCCAGCATAAAATAATGATATACTTTCTCGATAACCTATAGACTTTGAAACTGGATCAACAAGAATTGGTAAATTTCCACCTATGTTATTCATGACAAAAAGAAATACTCCTACTGTGGTTGAGCGTAATGAGAGAGGCACTATTTCAACCATGATTGCAAATACAATTCCAAACCACATTTCAGCTGTTGGAACAATAAAGATAAAACACTGAAATATATATAGAATTATAATAGTCACAAAGATAAATTGATTTACCAAAAAAATATGATATTCCTAAAGTTATCATAGCCCACAAAGGTTCAAAGTATATCGAACCAAAAGCAAATGGTGTAGAAATCAATTGACTCAGAGCTAAGACTGCAACTCGTGATCTTACACCCATTTTTGCAACAAATTTATCGGATACTATTCCACCTGAAACATAAATTTTAAATGATTACTTAAATTATACTCACAAGAGAAATGTAAGTTTGTGCCATTTATAATTACATAATTGAATAACAATAAACATACCCACTACTACGCCAATACTTCCTATGATTACTGTGACACCAAACAAAGCCCACCCCAGATCGACATCAGGGAAATAATTATTATAATACAAATCTGCATTATAAGCAAATGTCATTCCACCTGCAATTTATTAATAGAATATAGTAAATATATCAAGTAAAATTGAGACCAGCTTAATGTATAGTAAATAAATACATAATCCTATTTTTCTATATAAGATGGCTATTTATATATTTTATGCACAATACACTATAGTATGCAATAGTATACAATATACTATAGTATGCACAATACACTATATGTACATAAGGTACACTATTTGGTACAACTAAGAGAATTGGATGTTAACTGGTTTTGTATGAATCTGTAAAATATACACTATACTAACATGACACAAACAATAAAATATGATCAAAATTATCAAATGTTGTTGAGAGTTTTCAATGAACATTTCTCAATTGTTATTTTTAAATGTTTTATATTCAACATCATTATCAAATTTTCTAAATGTTGAGATGATTGATTTTGAAAATATAAAATTTTATTGGTATCTAAGAAGTTAAAGTCAATATTATTTAACGTGTAAAAAAAGTGAGGAAAAAAAAGTTGGATAAAAAAACAAGTCATGATGTCATGTAATAAATGTTATATGTTTTTGTATGAATGTTATTTTTTTATGTTAATAGCTTTTTGATAGTAACGACGAAAGTGGTCATTTATTGAATTAATCAGACATTTCAAGAATTGATAAATTCAACACATTCAAGATAAAGCGGCTCGATTATTTTGTGAAATTGTAGAATTTTAGCATGCAAAGACTTCAGTATGACGCTTGCGCGTAGTATCAAATGTATGTTTGCAAAAACAGGGCTGTGATACTGAACATTTGAAATGTCAATATAATGAAATTTGAATTATTATTACAAGAGAATAACATTTCATATATGAAGTAACATCACAGTTTGTTTTTCATTGAAACCATTCTAGAAATAAAAGTATTCATTTCGAAATATCGATAAAATCTTACCGCAATGCCTGAGTGATGCGGCGATACATAATAGGATAATCCTGGGTTGCCTAATAACATCCCATATTGTCATTTTTTTTGCATCAGGATCTGTGTGATTTTCCTCTCCAATTGCTTTTCTTTCTGGCTCTTTAAGGGTTGTGCCTGTCAAGACAGCGAATATCAGAGCTAATATTCCAGTGCCATAATAGCAAATGCGCCAGCCCTGTCAACGAAATAATGAAGTCCATCAGTATTTGTTGCATCTACGACGGGAAGATGCTTATAGGGCAGGAACGGGTAGGTCAAACATACGAGACAATTACTTCCTTCACATAATTTTTTTATCTACCTACTACAATTTTACGTTGAATTGTATTTATTTCACATTTCACTATATTTATGCTATAGATGAATATTACTTGGTGATACGCGAACGACAATTAGCAGTTTGCAGTTTTATTGAAATTTAGGTGAAATAACATATTCATATTTTTCATCTGGTTCCGCAGCATTGAATTAAAAGTATGTACATATAAATCATCTGTCAATGCAAGTTTGTTTGGCTTGCTACAAAGTTCTACAAGAATACATACAAATATGAGTAATGGCAAAATTATGAATTGTTGTCTTTTCGCCGATTTGAAAAGAATAGAAGATTCGAACATTAATTACATTCTATAAAAATGTAGGAGAATGTCCCTGTGGCAACTTTTCGAAAACTTTGCGTTTCAAGTCAGTTATCCCTGTGGCAACTTCCGCAAATTTACGATAAACAAGTTACTGTCTTTTAGATATGATATACGACAATATTATCATGTGTGAACGTGTGATCGCCACAATGATCAGAAGGATTTGAAAGGAAAAGATGAACTAGTCAAATCTTCTGCGATTTTCAACAACTTTTGCGACTTTCAACAAATGCGAGTGTTTCCAATTTTCAACAACTTACTTTTATACAACGAAGTTTTGTATGTTTATGGAGATACGAAATTTGTTAACAATTAGCTTCAATTTTATTCACCGTCAGCATTGTTTAAATTAATATTATGTGAAGAAATGTTATGGCAAATATTACACATTCATATTAAATGTGAAGTATATATATTATTAATCAAGAAAAATGAAATATTGAAAAATTTCCAGTATAATTTTGTATTTTAAGAATGTGTACTTACCAAATCAAATAGATTTGCTTGAGTTATATATCTTCCAATTGGAAATGCTATACCATAACCACCGTATATTCCCCAATTAAAAATTGACATAACTAACCCACGTTTTTTTTCTGGGAATATGTCAGAAAGCAGACCTGTAGCCAGTGGATTGCATCCAGATTCACTGTAAAAAAACAAATTTAGCAAGAAAAAAAAAATAAAAAAGAGAAAATAAAATATTTTATAATTACCCAGCAGCCATGATCATTCTAAGAAGAATAAGTTGCCAATATTCTTTGACAGCGCCTTGTAGAATAATAGCAAGTGAAAAGACTAATGTGCACAATGCTAACATTTTTACACGATTGTATCTATAAAATGTTTTTTTTTATCAATTTTCCTGCAGACAACCAAATATTTATGTTAATTTTCTACCTGTCTGCTGCCACTCCTAAAATCACACCTATCACAGTAAATACAAAAATAAAACTCGGTCCTGCAAGTAGCTGGTATTCCAAACCCAATCCATTATAATTCCATTCACAATAAGGTGTACCATTGTAATTTAACGATAAACATCTAAAAACATCAAAATTGAATTTTAGTTCAACAATTTACGGTAAAAACGTTGCACAGTGACTTACACATCAGTCTGGTTCGCGGCCGCGCATTGTACGGGAAGTATATGCCTCTCCAAATCCGTGTTGTTCTGTTGGCATGCATGATCTCCATATCCGATTTCTATGGCTGTTTGTTTTGATGTTACTCCTATGAGATAATGACCCAATTCTCCCAAAACATATCCTATAGTAACTACTGCAAGTACATATGTACTATACAAGAAACTTAACTTCTCGGATATTAAATGCATTTTGATATTCTTCACTTGTTGAAAAATGACTGTAACCATAAATTTGTTTTTAACACTTGATACACATTGAAATATCATTTGCGATGATGATGAAGAAAATTAATGAAAAATTAGCGTGCAGGATTTTAAAACATTATTTTGACTTGTTTTATTTCTTACTATCTTTTTATTCTCCTGTTAGTGAGATATTGATGTTGCACACTTGTAATTGCGCTTTTGATGCACTGACTTCATTACAGATTTTTAAAAGTTGTGAACATAGATAACTATTTAAATTCTTGAAACAGGGAGTGTATAAGTAAATTATTTGCAGATTTTACAAGATGTTAAATTTAATTATTTGATATTTATGGCAGAAATTATGAGACTCTGTGAATTATTCAGTTTATCAAATGATAGTATCTTTTATTGTGGACTGTTTATTGTTGAAGTGTACATAAAGCAAATCTTTGCATTGTAAGTTAGTTAAAGTTTCAGTAGTCACTTATTTCTTCTATTATTCAAACCTTATCATTTAATGTGATCAAATTAATATTTCATACTGATATCTAAGGAAGATGATCAAGTTTTATATATTTTATCAATATATGTAAGCCGATACTAATTAAAGTGGCTGAGGTCATTTTGAAAGAAAAAATCGAACACCAAATATTGTTTCAGTTCTTATTACTTATGCGAAACGCAACGGCAAAATTTACAAACCTTGCAATAGTTTAAATATGTATGTATCCTTGCTCTCGAAATCATCGGCAAAAATTTGTATCCGCACATACGCACGCACACATATACATACAATCATTTTTTCTAAAGTATGCCAAATGTTCAGAAGTTCTTTAAACGTAAAGATATACAAACATTTTCGCGATCACTATAACTTACTAAGTGAGCTTTAGAACTTTAGCCAGAATTAAAATTGAAATCTTAATTATTTTCGATATACAAAAAAAAAAATGAAAAAAAAATATGAAAAAAAAATTGAAAACATTTTTTTCCAAAAGCAATTGTTTCATCAACACAAGCAGAAAGCGTTTTGAATCATTCAAATTGGATGCTTATTTCTCTCAAAAACTAATTTTTTGTACATTTAGCTCTGTATCTTCGAAATGGGTGGATCTGCCTTTGCTAAAATCACCACTTCTCCTAATCATTACAAATTGCATGTTTTTTAGATCATTCAAATCGCAAACTCCGTACTCTCATAAACTCGATTTCTATTTTCTGCAGTCTTTACTCTTTATCTACGTAACGGCTAGACCTGCCTTCGTCAAAAACTAATCAGCACATCTCCCCATCAATAGGAATCAAATGTTTTTGAACCATTCAAATCGGTTGATCCGTGCGCCCGAAAACGTGAACGAAAAAGTGCGAACCCAAATCCATGCTAAAATGTTCAGAAACCTTCAAAACGTGGAGAAATGCAAAAATTTTTATTTTCGATTTTCGACCCATCACTATAACTATCCCATGGGAAGTTAATAATAGAATGTTATTAATATCTCACAGTATAAGTTATTAAAATCATAAAAAATGGTTTTCCACATCTTTGCCAGCCATGATATTCTTATAATTGTTGAATGTCTAAAATTTTTTTTGAATGTGCTTTTTGTAGAAAGCAGTCTCTATATATATATCTAGTTTCATATATTTTGCATCTGCCAAACAAAAACCCTAGAGAATAAATTTTCTAAAATAACTACACTGTTTTTTTTATAAATGCATAAGGCATCATACATACTAAAACAGTTTTTGATAATCACAATATCGTATTGAATTATAAAATATTGTTATGCAAAAAAAAACTTGAAAAATTTGAATCTTAAAAACTATGCCTAGGTGTCTGTAATTAGATTTCAGCGTCCCTAAGTTAGTTTTTTAAGTAAGTATAGTGTTATCAGAAAATATTTAACAGCAGTAAGAAAAATACTGTTCGTTAAACTTCGTTATTTCGTTCGTTTTTTTTTAACGAGTCAATCATATCGCGTATGTTATAATCTGATTATGTATTAGTATAATAATTAAAAAGGATAGATGATATTATCTATTTACGTTTCTATACGGAGATTTTTTTTGTACAATGAAGCACATTTTCATATGTTACATATAGAATATACTATATCATTTATATACTACTTTATGAAAAAAAATTCACCAATATTTATTGCTACAGATGATTTTAAGAACAAATTATTGCATTATAACTTTAAAGTACTTTGTAACTTTGAAGTACTTCTATATTTTAATTTAAATATTTTATATTTTGGGAGCACACACACACATATATATATATTTATATATATATATATATATATATATATAATAGTATAGTATAAATTATATTTGTTAGTAACAAACAAAGAACATTGTTGGAGTTGTTCTTAAATTGTACCAGATAGATGGGCATGAGGCCCATCAGCGATAAAAAGGGCAAGAAGAAGGTAGCTTGAAATCAATTATTTAATTATTAATTAACACAAACATAATTATCATTATGTGTACTGTAAGTTGTGTTTTGCATAATATAATTATACTTCGTACGACTTAAATTGATCCTATACATTATACGACTTATATTAATCCTCATACATTAATAGTGTGTAATTTTTTTTTTATTAAAACATTGAAGTCACAGCGCTTGAAAATAATACGCAAAACATTACTGGTTTACGTCGGACAGTAAAATATTTCTATGTACTAAATTATTTCCTTATCACAACCACAGAATTAGAAAAATATATGCTGATTGATTTTAAATTAGATTATTTTTTTGTTTTTAATATATTCGTGAAAAACAATAGTGAATATATACGAGTATATATATATATATATATATATATATATATATTATTTTTTCTACATATATTTTGTTAAGTAGGCATTGCATGTTAGACAATAATAATACAAATGTAATAATAAAATTTATAATTGTAGAAAAAATATTGTAAATAATAGAAATTTATAATACAAAAATAATAGAAATTTATAATACAAAAATAAAAAGTATTTTTTGGTTTGTTTTTTTTTATAGTTTTTTCTCAATATAATAAGATGCAAACATACTATATCCATGTAACATAGAATCTTTATAAATGAAAAATTAATTAAAACTGAGTTGGTTATGATAAAAAATTTGGTGTTTAAAAAATATAAGCATTTGTCACAAAAACCTAGTAGGCACGCCGTTGGGTGTTACTACTATATTCTAGTTTATATTGTAAGATATTTATTGTTAGCAATCTCTGCTTAATGTCACAAAAGGTTTTATTGGAATGTGGAAAAATATAGCAACATACTTCGACTTTTCAACGTTAATATTAAACTAAAAAGTAGGATTTAGTTGTTGAACCGCACAAAACTGTTTTTACACTAATTTTCAAAACTACTTTTACATATTTAAGAATCGTAACATTTTTGCACTATATTGAGTACACCGCAATCAACAACTATATGAAGTAAATTGAATCTGGTAATAAAAATCTTAAATAATTGTTAAAATGACAAACATTATTATATTTTTAATAATGTATTTTTATATTTGATACTTTAGTTACTTATGAATAAGCTTGAAAATGATTTTAAACTAGTGGGGTGTATGGCATCGTGCCTTAAGGCAAATTGCTGGAACTTCCCGTACCGTAACGAAATGATCGCAAAATATTAAATGTTTTCAAATAGATTATTATAAATATTGTAACATTGTCTAATATTTAGAAAAATTATATATACTAAATTGGAAAGTTGAAATTATTTGTTTAAAGTATAATAGAACAGTATTAAAATAAAAATCTGAATAATTTTCGATATACAAAAAAATTTTTTTTTGGAAAAAAAAATTAAAAAAAAAATTTTGAAGTAAATTTTTTTTTTCCAAAATCAATTATTTTGTTAAAACAAGCAGAAAGTTTTTGGAATCATTCAAATTGGACGCTTAGTTCTCTCAAAAACTTCCATTTTTTGCACATTTTGCTCTGTATTTCCGAAACCGCTGGGCCTGCCTTTGCGAAAAACTAATCACCCCTTTTCCCCGTCATTACGAATTGAATGTTTTGGGATCATTCAAATCGGATGCTTCGGTCTCTCAAAAACTCAATTTCTATTTTCTGCACTATTTGCTCCGTATCTCCTAATCGGCTGGACCTGCCTTTGCCAAAAACTAATCAGCACATCTCCTTATCAATAGGAATCGAATGTTTTTTGAACCATTCAAATCGGTTGATTGCTGCGCCCGAAAACGTGGACGAAAAATTGTATCCATACATACATACACACTCACACACACACACATCCTTTTTTTCTGAGGTATGCCAAAATGTTCAGAAACCATCAAAACGTCGAGAAATGTAAAAATTTTCAATTTCGATTTTCGGCTCATTACAATAACTTACCCTACGGGAAAGTTAATAATAATTATTATTATTGGAATGTATTTTTATGAATAAATAAATAACCGTTTTTTTATTTTTTGTAGTTTATATCATATAGTAATAGAATTAACCAGTTAACTGTGTCGCTCACATCGAACAGTGCGGTCAGTTTTGTATCGTTTGAATCGAGCTCATGACGAGTATATCAACAATCCCAGAGTAATTTGTGATGCTAAGATATCGGATAAAAAATATGAGTTTATTTTACAGATTTAAAAAATGTTACTACTCTTTATTAACATAAGCATATATTGCATACGTAATAAACCAAAACGACGGAGTAGTTAAAATTTTATTTAAATAGCTAAAACCTCATTGATTCTTAATTAAATTCTTATTGATTAAGTATATTATTTCCACATTTCGGGAAATTCATGCAATATCTAAGATATTATGCTACTTACTAATACTTCTTTTATACGGTTATAGCATCAAAGTATTCTAAACAACTTGCCTTCAGCATATATTGTTTTTTTCTATTTTTTTTTATTTAATAGCAAAGGAGTCACCATTTTATACACATGATGAATATACTCGTCAATACACCAAATTCTGCCACGTCTTCATAACGAGTTCATT